TTCTCGGCAATGGGAAGCCATTCGATGTTCCATAAAAGCCTTACTCAACAGGACAATGATCTCAGTTGATAAAAATCCACAACTTCCTTAATTTATGGTAAATGCATGGTGACTAATGGCCCCAGCAGCGTATTTAACTTCACCCTCCCCAAACCCGTGGATGTAGTTGCAAAAACGGCGACATTCTCTACTCCAAATCTACTCAATTCCGGAGCATTTACCTTGTACTAAAGTAAAATACTTTACTTGTGAAGCGTTAGTACCAATTCATGTTCATTATGCTTTTCCTATTTTACTGTCTAAAACCGTCAAAATAACTGGATATAAACGTGGCCTCTTACAGGGGCACTGTGGTAAAAAATGTCTTATTCTTCAGATATCGTGCGCTTTTCCCATTTACATCGCAGCGCGATCTCACTTGGCCTAAAAAATGATTTAATGAAATTCATGTAGCAGCAGTAAGGCTGGAACTGTCATTGCATAAAATGGCTTAAAATTCGAGGGAAAAAAGTGATTAAGAATAATAAAATTTGAAATGATTAATTATTGAACAAAGACAGGATACACTTGCCAACTTATATCTATTCAGCTCGTGTAATAATCATGGAGTCAGGCCTGCCTCCACTAGCTTTGCTATTTGGAGGCTTGTCTTAAATTCCGTTACGAATTCAAATAAAAATTATGTACTCGCGAAACCACCACAACACAAGAGCGCGTCCGCTTAAATACGGTTAAGCAACAAGTCGAAGGTCGTCCAGTGCATCGCCGAATTGTATCAGGCAAAGCATTTTATAGAACGTGTACAATAGAAATGTTGCATGTTTTCAGCTATTTGGCATTAATTTTTGTATCTGTTTAACGGGTGAAGTAAAATCACTATAACGAAAGAAAGCATCCATATTCCAGGCTATTGTAAAAGTAAAACAGCTGTGTTGGGTGACAAAACAATATACTTTTTTCTCAGAATTTACTTGAAAAAAGGACAAAGTTCGCAGCTCTTTTCTTATCAACAAAAGATGGCTGTCGTGACATCAGCTGAAAACGAGCAATAGCTCCTCCAAGATCACTTTTATAGAGACCTCTTATCAAACATGAGAAACGGTGTTCCATCCCGTAATGAACACTTCGAACTTCATCAAAAAATGCTCCCAACCGAATCTCTTCTCTTTGTTGGAAACGTGATTAAAAAGGCTCTCTTGTCTTTGATTAGCCTGAGAAAACAGCCGGCATTTTGCAACGTCACCACTGGTTACCCCTCGAAATTACGTTTCAGAAACAAGCGCAGAAATTCAATGCTGATGACAGGACACTACCCAGATCTGGGTAGTGCATCTGATTCACTAAAAATTTGCTTCAACCGACTGGGAGTCACTACCCACATCTGCCTAGTGACGCGTCATCAGTATGGAATTTCTGCACTCGTTTCTCAGACGTCATTTAGCGGGGAAACCAGTTGTGGCGTCGTGTAATGTCGGCTGTGTTCTCAGACTACTCTTTGATACATTGAAAGGAAACTTCAAAACGACTAACAGGCTGAGCGATTTGAGTTTGTCACTCAGCGTCCGCTATACCAGGACGTTTAATTCGTCTGAATCTTAAAGCGTCTGCCTCAACGTCCTTTATTTTTTCTAGGCGTCTCAAATGCGTCAAACGTCTCTACGGCCATCGTTTACTTAACAATTATTCGTCGAGCCCGAATGGGCTCTGAGTCAATAGCCCATGAGGCCAAGGAATAATTGTTTTAGCAAAATCCAACTAGTTGCTCAAAAATATCGAGACAAAAGAACTTTAGTTAGTTAAAGCTAGATTTGAATCTATTTTTTGCCGCCGAAAAGCCTGCGGTTTTCGCTACCAGTGGGCTATAACATATAGCCCAGTAGTAGCTCAACCAATCAGAACGCAGCATTGATGATAGACCACTAGTTGGATTTTACTAATATTTTATAGTCGTAATAGCGTCCACGAAGGGGAAAAACCCTCTGGTACTAACAAAACAGGAGTCAATATGGTCTGTTTACAACTTTTTTGAATTTAAAAAGCGTATTAGCTAAAAGTAATTTTTTACAAAAGGCGTTTAGGAAACTTGATCATAAAGTAGGTAATCGGATTATAAAGCTACGATTGAGTTGTTATAAACAAAAACCTGCAAAATTTCCGCTTAATTTTACATACGTCATAGAATCGCCTAAACCTCACAAAAACGCTAGTAGAATGAGGAATGAGTTCACGTGATAGCTTGTTGGATGCGGAATAGATTACTTGACATAAAGTAGAAATTAATGAAACCCTAGCCCTAAACGCATAGTTTACAACTTATACCATTCCTAATGTGACGCCACCAGCCTAGTCCCTAGGCGTTCTAGCCTCGGTCAATTCTGGACTCTACCGTTAGCTGTTACGTCACCGAGAGAGACTCGCCCGCTGTTTCCCAGAATCTGCGCGGAGAACAGGCAGAGAGAACGCCTAGAGACTAGGCTGCCACGCCACGTGTCAGTCCTCTGAATTACTCCTCCTCTTACCCAATCCGCTTAAAAAACAGTTATAATGATACTTTTAAATGTTAACTACAACAAGGAAAATTCTATTTTCGTGTCATTTTAAAATGAACGATAAAAATGTACACTTTGCCCAAGCCCTAAAAAGTTTAACTCGAAGAAATGTGTTTGTGAACGTCTTTGCTAGGGTTGAACTTAGAGAAAAGTGAACTAAATAGGTTCATCTATAGGGTGCTCACTGAAAGTTAATACTGTATGTGGTGTTTCGTTGGTGCTTCGAACAGTACCGCAAATCCTTTATTCACAGCTACAAGGGAAGACGTGAAAAGCAACCTTTAGGACCTGCCTCAGTCTCGACCAGGCTCAGGCGCAGCTTTGGAATCGTTATTTTTCTATCAGTGTCAGCATCTGTCGTGGTAACGCTGCGCCCTCTGAAACAATCAGCTTAGCTTGTGAACAGGCTCTTTGTTTGGGGAAAAATAGCCAGGAAAGGGAAGGGAAAGGGGGCGGGGGGGGGGGGGGGGAACTCACCAAACTCTCTAAAACCACACAAGAAGAGAAAGAATAAAAAAACACTTTGAGTCCCCCCCCCGCCCCCCGCGGGCGGCGGGCGGTGTTTTTGATTTTTTTTTTTTTCACCGGTGACGGCCTGTTGGGGTGACCCCCCCCCCCCCAAAAAAAAATAGTGTAGTTGGGGTAGCTGGTTTTTTTTTGGGGAAAAAAAGGGGAGGGAGGGGGAGGGGGGGGGGGGGGGGGGGGGGGGAGAGAGCCTGTAGACAAACATTTGAGGCCGCTATTCCGCCCTCTTGTAATTATGTTGCCGATCATCTGTCAGTAAGATCGTTATCGGTCAATCAATTTCGCGGGCGAGTAACTCCTGGGAAAATTAACAGGAAATGAGCGGTGTTTTGCTCAGTCTGAAAACAGAGTGAAATGGAGCACGTACCTCATTGTCAATTTTGCAAAAAGTCGTTGATCTCCAGTAAGAGAATTAATAAGCCGTTCGTCTTGCTAGTTCGGTTTGTAATTTAACAAGCCGCTGCAATGAGCGAACTTGGAATGCGGAAGGTACAGATACTATCATGACTTCTTCACAACGTGAATCTTCGAAGACAAGTACAAAGAGATCAGCAGCGCTTCGATCGCCGACAGGAATTACAACTTCGGGAATTTACAGCAATAAAAGGGGGTGGTAGGCCGACACGACTTTATGCCAAAATGCTGCTTGTTCCCATAAGTTTTTTCCTCTGCGGGGTAGATTACTCTCTGGAAGGTTCTGCATTTTCACAGAGCAAATGTGATTTTAGCCGCTTGTTTCATACTGAGAGGTCATGGCACACATGTCGATTTACTTTGGTTTTTGGTTCTGGTCGACAGGATTTGCCCTCTGATGCAAGAGCATTTTCTTTGACCTCTTTTGAAGCGTAAAGCTTTTTATTGCGGCTGAATAAGGGTCTTACGTTTCTCCAAACTGTCTCTCGAGCTGAATAAGTAAGCGATTTTCTTCAGTCCGTGAATGTAATGTTTTTCCGCAATGTTGTATCCTGACGCTGGGCCCAGCTTGTTAGTTTTCTTTGCGGACTGTTTAAAAATTGTCACGTATAGTTATTTACAGATCCAAAATTATAAGATTGAAGTGCAGCTTAAACCGAAGCTACATCAGCCATGGAGAATTGCATTGTGCTTCGGTAACTACAAACTCCAGCTTAGTGTTTTTTTAAAGCAGTTTGAGTCTTTTGACGGGAGTGCGTAGTTCCTCCCTGTGGTAATAGTCTTTGGACTGTTTTCTTATTGCCACGCTGTGATCAAATCGCGTGCTACGTGCCGACCGAAAAGCTGATGTCAATCATACCTGTCAACAGTCACTGTTGTTGCCAATAGGAGCTTGCATCAGGATCTGATGCACAGCGGGTACCCTGGAACGGCGGTCGCAAATGTTTGTCTACAGGCCTTTTCCCTCTCCCCACCCCGCTCGACCAAAAGCCTGTTCACAGGCTACAATCAGCTAAAAGAGTATGCCAAGAAACAGCGGATGGCTTTCAAAACTTACATCAGTGAGCTGCAAAAATAAAAATATTGTCAAATATTAGCTATCAGATTCAGACCAGGGCAGGTCCTTTCAAGATAAGTGGTTATACAGTAACACTTTCTGCAAGTTATTATCTTGAAGAGAGGATAGCGATATGAAACCAATTTACTTTGCTCATTGTAATTTCGATTAAAAACTAAGGGGAACGTTTTTCGGGTCAGTTGCCCAGTTAGACATAATTTAAGTTAAGAAATGCGAATAAGCGTTAAACATAAACGTACATTTCCAAGAGTAGCTTTACAATAGTCGGTGAAAACAAGGTGCATTATGGTCTATGTTAAAATGTAAAGAAAGGAAAATAGGACGTGTAGAAGAAAGTATATTTCAATTAACTCTACAAATTGATACAAAAGCTTGTCAAACTGATTGTTCATAAATTACAAGACTTATGACGTTACCTCGACATTATGGGTTATCTAGTCGTTCACAGCAAATTCCAATGTGACGTCATCACCAATAAGCACGAATGGTGCCCAATACTTGACTGCATTAAACTCCTCAGATTCTCTCATACAGTTCATTGTTTGATTCAAGGATTCACTAGCACTTATCCCTTTCACAAGATGCTGATAGAAATGTTTCATGAATTCTAAAGTGGCTTCATCATTAATCGCCCACAATGACACCAAAACAGAACGAGCACCAGCACCCAAAAATGCCCGTGCTATACCGACCACACCCTCGGCTTTGATCACACCATGAGCACTGTGACAGCAACTGAGTACAACTAGTCTTGCTCGCAATCGAACACCCAGTACATCTCTCATCGTCAAAATGTCTTTTTTCACATCTTCTGTTGACGCTAGGGCAATCTCGCCCGTTTTCATATTCCCATGTGCAGCGATGTGCACCAAGGCTACAGAACCGAGTCGGGCTAAAACCTCATCCTTTGTGGCCTGTGTTCCAAGTACAGGTGTGATGCCAAGCATTCTGCCAATCATTTCTACTTCCTTCCTGGCACATGGTAGCGGTGGAAGCTCTGTCAAAGGGTCACCAACTAGAAGTACACCTGACTTGTGATGGTGATCTAATGGACAATCCGCAATCATTTTCAAGCTTGTGAGGGATGGAGCCACCCGAATTCTGAATGACTCGCAAAGGTACTTGGAATCTGGGCCCTTGAATGCAGCAAAAGGAGCCATGCAAAGTGGACCGTTAGGAACGAACATGAGTTCAGTGCCCAAAAGAAGATCTTGAATAGGCTCAATGATGGTGTCATACAATGAACTCAAAGCGCTTCTTTGTAGGTTCAAGTGCTGGGTTTGTTTTTCATGCTGGGATGATCTTTTAAGTACTAGGCTATCCGCTAATTCAAGTGATCGATCCTCACACTTCACAAGACCGCTTATTCCAGTTTCCTGCTGCACAACCTGCAGAAGATCCTTTAAGAAAGTTTCGACTTCATTCTCTGAATGGATTTGTTTCTTTCGTAACTCAAATTCCTTTCCTCTCTGACAGACCCAGAAGATTAATTCGTTCTCTCCAAAGGCTATGAAAATTGTATTTGGAGGAAGGTAACTAAGCAGTTCATTGACTGTTTTGACTCCTGTACCTGATCCACCATACGCATCACTCCTTTTAAAGGAATAGTTTAGTTCCATAAGATCTTTTAAACCTTGTGCCCGTCCTTGCTCGGCGGTGAACAAAGCTTCTGTAACATCACCTTCCGTCAACATCAAACGCCAAAGCGCTGCGTATGTACTCTGGTATCGATCACGTAAGCTTATTTTCAACTCGTCTTTCAATTGAGGACAATCTCTAATATTGTTTAAAAAAGTAATACCTTGTTGGTAATACTCAATAGCTACCGGACTCTGGCCCAGTAATTCAAAAAAATTACCAAGATTTGAATACGTCATTCCTTCACCTAGGGTGTCACCCAGTTCTTTCGCAATTTTCAGGTGACATATATAGTAGTCTATGGAAGTTTCAAAATCTCCAAGACTTGTATGGGCATTACCAAGATTGCCATACGCTTTTTCTTCTCCTGATCTGTCACCGAGTTCTTTCGCAATTGTCAAATGACGTTGATAGTATTCTTTGGCTGTTTTAAAATCTCCTAGCCTGTAGTGCACGTTGCCAAGACAGCTATACGCTCTTCCTTCGCCTATTTTGTCACCTAGTTTTTTCGCAATTTTCAGATAACTCTCATGGCAATCAGAAGCTTTTTCGAATTCTCCCAAATTGAGATGAGAGTTGCCAAGGTTGCAATAGGCTTTTCCTTTTCCCAACCTGTCACCCAGTTCTTTCGCAATTTTCAGGCAACATTTATGGTAGTCTTTGGCTGTTTTAAAATCTCCCAGACTGTCATGGGCTTTGCCAAGATTGCCATACGCTTTTCCTTCTCCGGATCTGTCACCCAATTCTTTTGCAATTTTCAGGTGACGTTCATGGTAGTCTATGGCTGTTTTAAAATCTGCCAGACTGTCATAAGCGTTTCCAAGATTGCCATACGCTTTTCCTTCTCCAGATCTGTCACCCAATTTTTTTGCAATTTTCAGGTGACGTTCATGGAAGTCTCTTGCGGTTTTGAAATCTCCCAAAGAGTAATGGGCGTTGCCAAGATTGCAATACGCCCTTCCTTCTCCGCATCTGTCCCTCAATTCTTTCGCAATTTTCAAGCCACACTTATGGTAGTCTATGGCTGTTTTGAAATCTCCCAGACTGTCATGGACGTTGCCAAGGTTACCATACGCTCTTCCTTCTCCGGATCTGTCACCCAGTTCTTTCGCAATTTTCAAGTCACGCTCATGGTACGCTCATGGTATTCATATGCTTTCTTCAAATGTCTCAGACTGTCATGGGCTTTGCCAAGATTTCCATACGCTTTTCCTTCTCCGGATCTGTCACCCAATTCTTTTGCAATTTTCAGGTGACGTTCATGGTAGTCTATGGCTGTTTTAAAATCTGCCAGACTGTCATAAGCGTTTCCAAGATTGCAATACGCAGCTCCTTCTCCGGACCTATCATTTAGTTCTTTTGCAATTTTCAGGTGACGATCATGGTAGTCTATGGCTGTTTTAAAATTTCCCAGACTGTCAAGGGCATTGCCAAGATTGCTATACGCTCTTCCTTCTCCCGATCTGTCACCCAATTCTTTTGCAATTTCCAGGTCACGTTGATGATATTCTATGGCTGTTTTAAAATCTCCCAGACTGTCATGGGCGTTGCCAAGATTACCATAGGCTCCTCCTTCTACAGATCTGTCACCCAATTCTTTCGCTATTTTCAGGAAACGTTCATGGTAGTCTATGGCTGTTTTAAAATCTCCCAGACTGTCATGGGCGCTGCCAAGGTTGCCATACGCCTTTCCTTCTCCGGATCTGTCACCCAATTCTTTCGCAATTTTCAGGCAACGTTCATGGTAGTCTATGGCTGTTTTAAAATCTCCCAGACTGTCATGGGCGTTACCAAGATTGCCATACGCTCTTTCTTCTCCCAATCTGTCCCCTAGTTCTTTGACAATTTTCAGGTGACGTTCATGGTAGTCCTTGGCAGTTTTAAAATGTGCCAGATTTTGATGGGCTTCTCCAAGACTGCTATACGCCTCTGCTTCTCCTGATCTGTCACCCAGTTCCCTTGCTTTTTTCAGGCAACGTTCTTGGTAGTATATGGCTGTTTTAAAATCTCCCAGACTGTTATGGGCGTTGCCAAGATTGCTATACGCACTCTCCTCTCCTGATCTGTCACCTAATTCCTGGGAAATTTTCAGGTCGCGTTCATGGTAGTATTTGGCCAAGATTGCTACATACTTTTCCTTCTCCTGATCTATCACCCAATTCTTTTGCAATTTCCAGGTGACGTTGATGGTAGTCTATCGCGGTTTTAATATCTCCCAAGTAGTAATGGACGTTGCCAAGATTTCCGTACGCTCTTCCTTCTCTTAGTCTGTCACCCAGTTCTTTTGCAATTTTAAGTTGATGTTCGTGGCGGTCTATGGCTGTTTCAAAATCTTTCAGACTGCCATAAACGTGGGAAGTGCCAATATTCTCCGCCGTGTAGGTCGCCTGTATAAGTGTTCCGCACAACAGATCGCGTACAATGAATAAAAAGAGATGTTACTTTATACTAAATGGTCAATTTGCGCGTGCAGAATAAAGGCCTTACTGCCTTGCAAGTGCAGTAGTGGTTTATAAGAAGGTATGAATTGGGTTCACCTGTGGCTGTTAACACTAAATTTTCGTTTAAGGGTGTAAAATATAAAAACTTTAACTGATAATTGTTATCAAAATTAACGGTGAAAAATGATCTCCAACAAAAACTGTCATTTTCATTAAATATCAGGCTTTATGTGTATATGGGTATAAGCATGTGTCTTGTCACGCGGAGAAATAGATCCTACCATATATAGCATCCACGTTTTGGAAGCACTGATATTTTCATGAGAGAAGAGACTTAAATCTCCAACGATACATAAGCTGTAAAGTTACTACGATATTCCGTGCCCCATTTCCGACTGGTAGTCTTATTTCTTATGTTGTTCGCCGTTTTGGGAACGTGCTATTTAGGGACGTTATTCAGGAGCCTATCACTCCAAAGTCATCACTCATCACCCATCACCCATCACTCACTTCTATCGCTCTTCGGACACAACGATTTAGATTTTTAGGCTATTTATGGATTTTTTCTTTCTTAACCAAAACGTTTCTTATAGCCAACCAGACCAGAGTAGGATTTCCAGCAATGGTGGATTAAATTAGCGAAGTCTCCAGCTAAGACACTCAAAATACATTTAGGAACTATGATGTTAGCGTCAACGATCCTCGATTCAAACGATCAGTGCCATATTGCATTGTGCTGAACACAGTAGATTTCGCGGTTAAAAATGTAAAACTAGGCTGAACGTCCAACCTGCAGTACAAACTGTTGGTAGATGATGAATGCTCCCGGGTTGTGGGCTCCTAAATTGCCTTTACAATTTGCCCATTGATTTACCAGAGGTAACAGCACCCACTGGCCGGAATTGTTAATCTAGGAGGCCATAGGCTCGCATCCCATGGGGGACAGAAGTTCTGCCCCATATACTCGTGCCATAAAGAATTTAGCATCTTTTCAAAAATAACGCTGTAGCTGAATAATGAGGGGACCCAAGGAGAATAAAAGATGATTCAAAAATGACTTTGAGGACTAATTGGACTTTTTCCGATAAATTACAACGCCTTTCATCTACATTACAATTACGATCCTTATTCGTTCAACCCGGCTAGGTGTACAGACACCTCCAAGATTTTGATTTTCTAGCCGAAACAGATCTGGCGTGATTCAAAGCAAAAAATCTCTACAACGAAGCACCTTCAGTAGAGCTGATATTAGTATAACCTTACCTTTTCTCCGAGGCTACCTTGCAGTTCCCTTTGTTCTTTCACAGATCTACTCCGTATTTCTAACAAATTCTGGTTGTTCGAGGCGATCTTGTATTAGATAAAATTTTCAATAACTTATAAATAAGCAAAGTGGAAAGCAATCCAACTTAAAATATATTATCTCATATCACGCGACGTTTCGTTGATGACATAAACCTAACAGTATTTTGCAAAGTTCTACTGTGCAGCAAATTTTAATTAGTCAACTTAACTAAGTCCCTTTTAACAGTGAATAAGTTTTGTGCTTTTGAAGAAATAATTTGTTTCTCCTCATTTTTCGCTAAAAATGTGTTCGCATTCGTAGTTTATGAATTATAAATGCTTTTTTAAAAATTATTATATCCTATAATAACATTCGCATTACGACTCGAAAATCCCTGGAGACGGGGTTGCTCTAAGGTTGTATTTCAGTACGTATTCACTGTTATACTACTACATGAGAAACTTCTGCAATTGGATTGGCTCAGAGCAGTTCTATTTCAGCTTAATTTGAAATACCTTCATGTGAAAATTACAAAACTTTTGGGGGTAGTAGTATAAACAAATAATAGCATGATTTGTACGTGGTATTTGGCATAAATACCACTCGTGATATTTCAAAATTGTCTCAAATTTCACTCGCCTAACGGCTCGTGAAATTACGTATAACAATTTCGAAATATNCTAACAGTATTTTGCAAAGTTCTACTGTGCAGCAAATTTTAATTAGTCAACTTAACTAAGTCCCTTTTAACAGTGAATAAGTTTTGTGCTTTTGAAGAAATAATTTGTTTCTCCTCATTTTTCGCTAAAAATGTGTTCGCATTCGTAGTTTATGAATTATAAATGCTTTTTTAAAAATTATTATATCCTATAATAACATTCGCATTACGACTCGAAAATCCCTGGAGACGGGGTTGCTCTAAGGTTGTATTTCAGTACGTATTCACTGTTATACTACTACATGAGAAACTTCTGCAATTGGATTGGCTCAGAGCAGTTCTATTTCAGCTTAATTTGAAATACCTTCATGTGAAAATTACAAAACTTTTGGGGGTAGTAGTATAAACAAATAATAGCATGATTTGTACGTGGTATTTGGCATAAATACCACTCGTGATATTTCAAAATTGTCTCAAATTTCACTCGCCTAACGGCTCGTGAAATTACGTATAACAATTTCGAAATATCACTTGTGGTATTTATGCCAAATATCACTACAAATCATACTATTACCTATATAAAAAACCGTAACCAGATGCACTCTTCCGAGGGCCTAATTAGGAGTGTGACAAGGAAATTATGTCTTAATGGAAACTATTCCATCAACTGTAGGAAAGGATACTGCTAATCCTTTATTACACCATGTGAAGGCTTCGTCAAATTTTTTCAACTGAACGCAGGCACTTGCACCTGTAAATACACAAAGCACAGTTTAGCTGCAACACATTTGGGCTACAAATAACAGCTGGCTTTAAAAGTTTTGCAATCTTGATCTCACGACCAGTAGTTAAGGATATAACCAAACACATCGAAGATAAAATGTCTTTACCTCACGCGAAACGCCACACCCATGTTTTCATTTTTGACAGTTTTTCCAATAGACCCTTCCACGGTTTATTTCAAGTTTTGATTAAGACCAGTTAGCGAGAATATCCATTGACATTGCGGGAAAGAGCACCTTTCAATTACGAAACTTACCAAGTTTAAAGGCGATACGTTAAAAGAGAGCGAAAATATTGCTCCACAAGTCGCGAAATTTTACAGACGTTTAATAGCCGATGACTTGCCCCCCACCGTGCAAGCGTCGGCTTGGCGACTTTGCGGAGCTATTTCTTCGTTAGGCTTCAACAAATCACGTTCAAACGTAGCATATTTACTAATTTTATGGCGTTTTTTTTAGCCATTTTGACGGATTTTCGCTAACTGGGTCCAGTCAAAAGTTGAAAAAGCCTTGGAAAGGTATATTGATAGAGACTATGCATAATAGAGAGCGAAAACGTTCTTTAGCATAAACCATAATAATTGTTACTAGTAAAAAAACAGCTAGCTGCAATGAGACAATGATGTTTTAAAATTGTTCACCCTGGTTAAAGTCATATTTTTTAATTGCTTGAGCAAGAAGAGACGGGTCAACCTCAAAAGCCCATAATGATTACATTTCCAAATTGAAACTCCTCAATACATTTGGCGGGAAATTCTTTACGGCGACTGCTTACTAATGTCAAGGACAAAGACAAACCGGAGGACAGACAGGGAGCAGTATACAAGATCAAATGCTGCGACTGCCAGGCTTCTTACATTGGTGAAACCCGCAGAAACCTAAGCACGCGACTGACCGAACACAAACGCGCGACGAATGGTGACGTCAACAATCACATTGCTGAGCACCATGTAAAGACGAAACATCAAATTGACTGGGACTGTGCGACATGTATAACGTATTCTACAGACTACTATCAACGTCTTACTTTAGAAAGCTGGTTTACTAACTTAGAACAAACGCCACTGAATCGTAGCCAACAGTTACCAGCGCCGTACAAACGACTTATTGAC